GAATTAACAAGCTCTATTTTGAATGAAGTTGATCTCAGAGATATAGATAGCAGTAAATCTGGCTGAACATTTTAAAAATAAAAACAAGGTGGAGTTAGACATAAATAAAGAAGTAGAAAAAAAAATTGATAAAACTGAAAGTTTAGCACCTTTGGTTGCTAAACTCGGTAAGCTTGAGTTTTCCTTTCTTATGTTTAGTTTTAGTGGTTTAGCAAAAGAGATGAGTTTTCTTTCCTTATGCTTAGCTTTAGTGGTTTAGCAGAAGAAAGGATTAAAGACTTTCACTGTTACCACATTATTTATATATAACCTTTGTTTAAAATTCTTGATAAACATGCTAATAAAATAGTCATGGACAGCTTTTTAGCTGTCAATGGCCATTTGGAGAGAGGCAGTCAGTCTTTCCTTTTTAATGAAGAAATAAAACACAAAAAATTACATAATATATATTATTAAAAATAGTTGAAAAAATAGTTCTGGAAAATCTTGTTAAATAATTAAAATAAATATATATTATATTCTATATATAATTGTTTTTAATAAATAAAATTGAAATGATAATTTAAGAGCATATTTTATTCTATTTATAATATTAGTTATTTTAAGCATACAAAAAATGAATAATTTTAATCTGATTCTGAATATGCATTTAAACCTTATTTTGAGTTTAAATAACACACTGCACTGCGTAATAACTAAATTTCAGCCAATTTAAACTTTTATTTTATACTTCTTTAAGGGGAGAAAAACCATACCATTTCAATCAAAAATGCAGATATTTATGTCCTAAAAAAAAAATTTATTAAAATTATTTGTTAGTCTTACCCTCAAGTCACTTAAAATAAGTTGTTTTTAGTCATTTTAAGATCCTTTTTTTTTCAATATGTTCTTTGAGGGCAAGCAAAGAGTCATTTGATGGTGAGTTTTTGAAAGTTAGTTTAAACATTTGCTTCAAATCTAGAGGGTTTGGTTTTCAAAATTCCAAAATAAATTTTTTCTGAACACTCTTAATATATACTATAGTGCATATAAATATTATATGCACTATAGTATATATCAGCCAATGTATGTACTGAAACACAACGAAAAGTTCCCTAAACCTGTATGATGTCAGATTGCAAATCTAAATGTGCTTTTAATGATTTTTTCATATATTTAAATTTCATAGTATATATTGAGATAAAAATAAAATATTTTTTGATTGTCAAACATATTATAGTTACTTGGTTAATCTTGGTCAAACATATTATAGTTACTTGGTTAATCTTGGTCAAACATATTATAGTTACTTGGTTAATCTTGGTCAAACATATTATAGTTACTTGGTTAATCTTGGTCAAACATATTATAGTTACTTGGTTAATCTTGGTCAAACATATTATAGTTACTTGGTTAATCTTGGTCAAACATATTATAGTTACTTGGTTAATCTTGGTCAAACATATTATAGTTACTTGGTTAATCTTGGTCAAACATATTGTAGTTACTTGGTTAATCTTGGTCAAACATATTATAGTTACTTGGTTAATCTTGGTCAAACATATTATAGTTACTTGGTTAATCTTGGTCAAACATATTATAGTTACTTGGTTAATCTTGGTCAAACATATTATAGTTACTTGGTTAATCTTGGTCAAACATATTATAGTTACTTGGTTAATCTTGGTCAAACATATTATAGTTACTCGATTGAGATTAGGATCTACATACCTTTCTCAAGTTTCAACAATATCTCTATGTCAGAAAAAAATAATAAAATTGCTTTTTTACTATGAGTTTTAGTAATTGTATTTTACTTGAATTTTATAAAGCTATTATGTTTACAACTGCTATAATGTTTACATCTGTTATAATGTTTACAGCTGTTATAATTAATTACAATTAATAAATATTAATTGTATAACTAGTTATTTGAATTTTGAATAAATATTTACTTATACTATTTTCCAATATTTTCTTTAAATTGCAAGAATATACAGTTTAAAAGCAAGATTTGTTAATATTTACTTATTAATATTATATTTTATTTGTTATGCTCATCTATTGAAAGTGTAATATTGAAAGTTGGAGTGAATAATGATATGGTGAAAATTTCACCAAAAAAAAAGTTATTCTCAATTAGAACAGACCCGAAATGGTTTAATGATGAAGTTAAGCAAGCATCAAAAGAGAAATCTGCTAGTTTTGCCAGAATTCTTGAAGCACCCCGAGATCGAAAGAACCTAAAAAAGCCAGAGTTTAAAAAAGCCTCACGGAAAGTCAAAAGAATTGTTTATAAAGCCCTTTGCACACACGAACAAAACATCATAAGCAAATGCAATGATTACCCTAGACTTTTTTATGACTTAGTTAACAAGGCTAAAAACTGCAAAAATTGTATTAGAGCTCTCGAGAACGGAGAGGGCATGTTATCATTTGACAGAACTGAGATATACAACTTGCTAAACGAACAGTTCTTCGCTACATATAGCAAAATTTCTCCCAAGCTGCTGTCAAGTTGCATTTCTCCAAATTGGACAAGCACAAAACACCAGGTATTTTATCCTTTCATCCTTTTAAAAACTCGTTCAGCGTTAGCACTAGCTTTCTCTTGGGTCTTCACAAAGTCTTTTATTACTGGAGATGTTCCTGCTTGCCGGAAGCAAGCCAATGTCACACCCATTTTTAAAAATGGCTGCAAGACAAAGCCAGCTAACTACCGCCTAATCTCTCTCACCTCTGTTCCATATATGGTAATGGAACGCTTAGTTTGTGACTAAATGCTCAAGCATATGACTGACCATATTTTGCTTGACAGTAGTCAACACAGTTTTGTTCTTCACAGATCTTGCATGACAATTCTAATTGAGACTTTCAACATTATATTTAGCGAGCTTGAATCTCGTCTTTAAATTGTAATGATCCTTCTTGATTTTGCTAAAGCCTTTGATAAGGTTAGTTACTTGCTTCTACTTGTCAAACTACGTGCATATGGCTTAAACACAAGTACATATAGATGAATAGCATCATTCCTAAATGGCTGCTGTCAAAAAGTCATACAAGGTGACTACATTTCTGATTGGTTGGATGTCCTTAGTAGAGTTTTGCAAGGTTCTGTAATAGACCCCTTCTCTTCGTTATCTTCATCAATGATGTGCCAAGCCTTACTCATCACTGCTTTAAACTCTTTGCCAACAATATGAAACTAATAGCTGTTATCAAAGACACCTCTGACTACCAAAATCTCCAAGAGGAAAAATTGGTAGTCTCCATTGATCATCTAGTTAAATGGGCCCACACATGGAGCATGAGTTTTAACAAGGACAAATGTAAAGCCATTTTCTTTGACAAGAGAGTTATTAACCGCCTCAACACTGCATTTAGTGACGATTTGCCTGGCTCGCACGTAATGTTTACCATAACTGACCGCATTGCTAACTGCCACAGCCTCGGTGAGACCACCTCCAAGTGTGACTTTGGTATCATTATCAATGACTGATTCAAGTGGCAAGACCAAGTCACACACACTGTAGCCAAAGCCAACACGGCACTAAGCATGTTGAAAAGAATATTAAGAGCTTTTGTGTACTTTATACAACTTATGTAAGATCACATCTTGAGTTTTGCTCTGCTCCCTGGAACCCCTATTATTGCGGAGACAATAATAGAGGTTCCAGGTTATCTTGCACTGATTGGGATGCTCTCAAACCAATGCAAGAAAGAGCCACTAAGTTTGAACCTTATCTCAAGACTTAAAGTTATCACCAAAGACTAGCTGTGATAAACATTCAATTGCTTAAGGATTTAAGGCGTAAGGGTGTATTTTTTTCTTTTCTATGGGACATATAAACTATGTTAGATTGAATGGCTGAATGAGCTATTTAGTCATTTCAGCCATTTCAGCTATTTACTAAAATAAATTTTGAATATTGAATAATAGAGAATTGGAAGTTGAAAAACTGAGTTATTTTATTATTTGTTCATGTATACAAGGGTGAAGTTATAACAAGTTTATCAAATAATTGGTTTTAAGGCCAAAATATATTTGCATTTTATAAATAAAATTATATAGTATAACAAAAAATAAATGAAAAAGATATAATAATGTGTTATATCTTATATATTATTATTATAGCCATTATTATAGCTTGCAATCTTTCTTTTTTTCCTTTATCAATTTTTTTGCAATCTTTCTTGCAATTGGTTATTCATTTACATTTAATAGCTGACAACTATTAAACATTGTACTTGACTGGTATTTCAGACGACACAGCTGATGAAGAACTGTGTAGAAAAGTTAATGTTTGTGTAGTTAGTATCATTTTTTTTTTTATCTTTTCGATTGAATCTATAAGATTCAATTGTGAAGATTTACATGACAAATAAACATGCTGGTGACAGAAGGTGATGACATGCTACATGACAAATACTACTTGACAATAAACAGAAGAAGTAAAACAGTTTATATTCTACCCTATAAAAGTTCCAAGTAAGACTTTTCATGGTCAGTCATGTGGTTTTTTTGTTTTTCTTATATTAAATCAAGAATATTTGTTACAATAAACCAAGAAAATTTTTAGTAGTCTTGATTTTCCTGATATTTTTATTCTAAATCAACAGATTTTAAAGCGAAAATGTTAATGTTTGTGTAATGTTGTTATTTTTTGAAGCTTGCAAAGTAGCATATTTGTGTAGTTGTTATTATATTTTTGAAGCTTGCAAAGTATCATATTTGTGTAGTTGTTATCATATTTTTTGAGGTTTGCAAAGTAGTATATTTGTGTAGTTGGTATCATGCTTTTTGAGGTTTGCAAATTATGTTGCAAAGTAGCATTTTGAAGTTTTTAATAATAAATTTTGAAAAAGTCTAATAGAAATTGATCTTTAGTTGTTTTATGTTATATGTGATTTTAGTTCTATTAGTAGCAAAAAGCCATATATATGGTAGGAAATGTATACATCAAAAGAGATGTAATATCTATTTATAATATACTCCTAAAATAATTTATTTTTTGTTAAAGAATGTAAATGCAGAAAGTCCAAGCAATGACGCAAGTGTTCAAGAGAAGAAAAATGATAGTACAGTTACACCATTAGAATGTGAAGCTCCAAAACACTATTCATCAGATATTCCATACTTTAAACATTTTTTGTCAAAATTTGCAAGTTTTGTGCAACCTGGAGATGGTTTTGGAGAATATTACATTGCTCAAGTAAGAATTTCCAGTAGCAGGTACAGTCGATTGCAAAGATTATTAGATCTAGAAAACAATGAAAAAGAACTTCTGGATATTATGATTGAATCCTTTGAGGTAAATAAATGTTAATTTTATTATTATTAAAATTTAATCTGTAATTTTAGACTTTAACTAATATACAAATTTTGATCAATTTTATATTATCCATATATTATTTAATTGGGTTAAGGACAAGTAGTAAGTGCCGGGGTTGATATTTGACTGCGGTCTGATTTGATAAAATATAGTTAGGGGGGGCGGGTTTGTGACCGAAGATGCATAAACATTAATACTTCCTAAAGTTTTTTGTTTTATTTTAATTCAAAATTCATGTTATATTTTGTATATATATATGCATATATAAAAATTATGATCAGCATGATCATAATCATCATTATTATCATCATCATCATCATGATCATCATCATCAACAGCATAAAAGAGAAAGACTAAATCCTGATGATAATCATCATCATTACCATCATCATCATCATCATCATCATCATCATCATCATCATCATCATCATCATCATCATCACCACCATCTTCATCAGGCTTTAGCCTTCCTCTTTTTTGCTGTTTCTTTAATATAAACAATCTAGAGCATTTTTTTTTCCTGACTAAAGCTCATTCAAAAAATATGTAAGGCACTCTCTTCAAGTTTTCTTACTTCTACCACTACCATGTTCTACTGAAGCTGCTACCTCTCTACTTGCTGATACCTAAATTACTTTAATCTTTTCTAACAAACGTTTTTCAATACATTTTTTCTAATCGGTCTAAGATTATGCCTTCTTTTCTTGTCTTGCTAGAGTCACCACACATCCATCAGATCATTTTTTCTTTCGGCAAATACTATACTATATAAATACTAAAGTTTATAAAACAATGAAAGGATATTGTATGCCAGTATCTAAATATATAGCATACACATATGTTTGTATTCATAATATGTATGCATAAAGTGCTTCTGTGTAAGTGGAAGCTTTTATTCCCTCTGGAATAAAAGTTTGGAAGCTTTTATTACTATTCTTCATTTTTAAGTCAATCCTCATTCTACTCCACATTTTTTACCATCTTGAGCAGTTGCTTTATTAAACAATCATTATTTTTATCTTTTTTACAAGAACATCTCTCTTAAGAACAAATACCCTTTTATTATTGCAAGAAGCCAATTTAAAAAAATCATGCCTGATGTTAAGTTCTGTTATTCTTAGTTTACTAAATCTTGTATCTTATCTCTTGTTAGGTTCTAGAGACTTTTGGTTAGTCTTCATCAATATCATTAACTAAAGTAAATTTAACATTTAATCTCTTGGGTCTGATCCTTTTATTTCTCCCCAGAATAAAGTAGAACTATTTGCAAAGAATTCTTACTCTAATTTGACTCTATAATGGTCATACTCTTCCTGACACTTAAACAGATTAATCCATTGTTAAACATCAAAATTACTTTGGCTTTCAATGCTAAAGTTAATTCTCAATTAAACACTTCTACAGTTTGTGCTCCAGAATAGATTTTTATCATAGTCTTAAAAAGTGGTCTACCTTCTATAACAGCCTAAGGCTTACAGTGGCTTATGGATTTAAATTCTGGACTTAAAATCCACACTTTTTGTTAGACAACAAAACTAATTTATTTACTGCAAAAAAATATTGAAATATTGTTGGTATTCCTATATTGATGAATAACAACCCTCTTACTCTCAGTCTAAAAGCACATTGTAAATATAATAAGACCTGCTTTATCTGCCAAGCTTGAGCCATTCTCCTGTTGTTGTAAGGTTGCATTTCTTTCTTTTTTTCTACAATTACAATCATGGTAAATGCTCAAACGAGCTATCATCTCTATTACGATACTCATTCTTGTTGGGCTTTTTATTTAACTGTAATTTTACTGTATCTGTCCCTTCATGCTAAAAAACTTTTATTAATCCAGTTTTTTTCCTTGCACATCATAAAAACCTTATAACTCTTACCCATCTTCATGTTTTCCTTTTTAATACAACTTACAATTTTTCAAGTCTTTAGTTATACGTTTCCTAGTATTTTAACTTATTCTCTATTTTAAATTAACTCATTACTTAATAGTGGTTACTTGCAATCATTTTGGAAATAAATTAGAGTTTAAAAATATATAAATGTATGCCAGTGTTTAATAAATAGTAAATGTAAGCATAAAACTATTATATATTAAGTATTACAAATTTTTTTCTAGCCCCGGCTATAAATCCTTGCTAAATCTTATAATTTTTCCGGGGCTGGGGCCAGGTTTGCAAAAAGTCTCGTTTTTAGCCCAGGCCAAGGCCCTGGTCATTTACTAAGGACAAGGTTGTTTCAAGAGAGCTTTATGTCTTATTTTTTAAAAAATTATTTTAAAATTTTTATAACTTTTGAATATTATAAATAATTTTGTTCTGTAAAAAGAATTTAAATAGCAATAAAATGTTTTATTTTATAACATTTATAAACTAATAAAAACTTTCCCTAGTTTAAGAATAAACACAGTAAATAATGAACTTGGCTGAATTTTAGTAATTTTTTTTTTACTTTTTATAAAAAAAAAATCTAAAAAAAAAACTAATTTAGATATTCTGAAATACACACATTTTTAGACAATGAAAAAAAATTTACTAAAACCTAACGTTAACTAAAATCAGGATTATTTAATTCAGTAAAGCAAAACATGTTTTTTGCAAAATTCAAAATTGCATTACAAAAATGTATATAAGATCCGTGAAACTTTCATTTTATACTTCATAATTTGTTTTGCCGAAACAGTTGTTCTAATTAAAATTCATTAGATAATTGCTTGGGACATAAACACGTTTAAAGTTATGTAATCGTATTGTAATTTAAATAAAAGTTTATGTTAAAAAACAAAAACACTTGTTGTTAAACATGTTTGAAAATATACTGCATAACATAGCTAGAGGTACATAAAATAAGTTTTTTATTTTCATATGCATAAAAGGTTGAAATTTCAATAACTTAAGTTACTGATCAAAAATTTAAATTTTAAACTTATAAATAATATAATTTAATATAAAAGCACAGTTTTTTCTAAAAAACACTCAATTAATAATATGATACTCATGAAAAAGTGTTTCAAATTCTCAAACATAATTATAAAAGTGTTTCAATTCTCAAACAAATTAAAAAGTGTTTCAATCCTCAAACATAATTATAAGTTATTTCAAGATCTTTATACTTTTTATAAAAAAACTTTTTTTGTTGATAAATTGATGATATTAAATTTGCTTTTATGTTGAGTGAAACAGCCATGTAGACAGTCTGATGGCACCATGTACAAGACAAGGTTCCAACTAGTTTAAGAGTCCAATAGGTTAAAAAATAAAGTAAAAATTGAAAAATAAAATAAATATAAAAATTAAAAAAGAAATTTTTCAAGCCTTGTTTGAAAATGCTAAGCTCTACAGTGCCATGGTGTAACTATTAATGGTTTCAATTCTAGTAATAAATCAGTTTTGTGTGGTGTTCCTCGAGTTTCTGTTCTAGGTCCTCTTTTGTTTTTAATCTACCTTAATGACCTAATCAACTCTGTTCACTTCTCTTCAGTTCATCTGTTTGCTGATGATACAAATCTCTTGCACATCAACAAATCGTATCATTCTTTATGTAAGAATGTTAATTCAGATCTAAAATGTATATTTTACTGGTTAAATGCTAACCTAATATGTCTCAACACCGAAAAAACTGAACTAATTTTTGAACTAAATCTCTAAGAAAAAACAGTTTCTTTAAAAATGTTGAAATCAAAATCAAAATTAATAATAAACGGCTATATCCTTCAAGAGTTATTAAATATCTTGGCGTATTTAATGATTGCAATCTTTCATGGAACTTTCATATTGATGAACTAAGCAAGAATCTCAAGCTAATCGTATGCTAATGGCAAAAAGCAAAAAGTATTTTTTGCTAAATAAATTTTAATAATTTGCTTATTGCAATTCTGTTTTTATTTAAGTCAAAAAATAAAACAAACAGTGAAAAAATAAAGTTTATTAAAAAAAATGTTTTGTTTAAGTGATCACAAACCATTAAAGATTCATTACACTAAAATATTTTTAAAAAAGTTTATTTTCAAAGTCTAGTTAGATTTTTTTAACACAATTATTATACTGTTGTTAAGTTTTTAAATATTATTTTTATTCATTTTATTACTTATTATTATCAATATTATTATATTACTGATTATTATCAATTTTTTTTACTTAAGTAATTTACAGAAGTATTAACATAATAGTTATAAATAAGAAATTTGTTCTTGGGAAAGAAATATATATTCAAAATATGTTTAATATTTTGAAATAACTTAACAATGTTTTATTAGATCTGAAAGTTGAGTTTAGTCTCATTTTATGACATGATGTTTTAGACTGTGTTGTGCAATGCTAACTTGTAGCATTATTGTTGTTGCAATGAAAACTTGTAGTATTATTGCTGTTGCAATTAAAACTTGTATCATTGTTGTTGTTGCAACTAAAACTTGTAGTATTGTTGTTGTTGCAATTAAAACTTGTAGCATTGTTGTTATTGCAATTATCTGAGTCATATCTTTATTTATTTTCTGATAAAAACTTCATCAAACTAAAAAAAATACCTTCATTAAGGCTTTGTTATCATTTAAAAGAAAGTTATCGTTGTCTTTAAAAAAGCAAACAAGAAAATGTTTAATTAAAAATTAAACATTTTCTTGTTTGCTTTTTTAAAGACAACGATAACTTTCTTTTAATGTTATTCACTTCCCCAAGGCCAAGAAAAACACTACAGTTGAGGAGACTACTTTATTGTGGTTACAACTTCTACTCAACTCAACTTCAAAATCTTGACAAACACTACCACTTAAACAAGTTGAACACGGATCGAACTCAGAACTTCTCGCTTATGAAGCAAACGATCTACCACTACACTACTACCATATTGGTACAGACATATATATACTCTAGACTACTACCGCATTGGTACAGACATGTATACTCCCCGACCAAATAGACACAGAAGATAGAAAAGGTTAGTTCAAAGTTAAATACATCTGTTAGAATATAAAATTAAAACAACTGCTAAAATATAAAGATGTATATCAAATGTCAATCCTAAATAATTATCGTTTAGATTGATTAGAGTTTTAAAAGTTCATATTATTACAATTGAAATTGATCAGAGCTCTTCTAGTTTTCTAGAAAACACAGTAAAAATCCATTTAAATGTCTATCAATAATTGACTGTCAATAATTGACTGTCAATAATTGGCCGTCAATAATTGACCGTTGATAATTGACCTTCAATAATTGACCTTCAATAATTGACCTTCAATAATTGAATGTCAATAATTGACTGTCAGAACAGTAAAAAGTAATTACAGTCTTCAATCCATGAAGTTCAAAGTTAGTGATAAAAAGGTTGATAAAAACCTGGTTTTTATTTGATGTTTTTGATTGCAGATGAGTGTTCAATGGAGTTGTTAACTCTAATTAACAGTTAACTGTAACAAGATATTGTATAATCTTAGAGCCCTAATGTGGCATTTCAAAATGGTTGTTGACAGTTAATATCTATTATTATATATTTTGGTAAACTGTTTTGGTAATTTCCTTAGTCCTAATGTCAAGCATTCTATTGCTAGAATATAAGGCCTATTTAATTGCCTTATAGTAACAAATAATAATAACTTATTATGTGTAATTATAATTTTTAAATCATGTTATTTAATTTTTTACTAAGAGTTAGCAAAAGATTATAATTACATCTTACACATAACATAGAACATCTTACACATAACATAGAAAGTCCACATCACGTTAGTCAACATGGTTCCTTTTTGTGAAGAAAGACAATGTGGTCTAGCCAAATTTGCAGAACCAACTGGAGAAGCCTTTCATTCCAAGTTTAAACAAACATAGGCAGGGTATGAAAGAGATGTAAGTCACAATGACTGTAGTGAAAACTTACAAAGGCATTTTTAGACTTCTCATTAAGAACAAGATAACTGAATCTTGTAAACCATACTAAATAAATTTACAAATATTATTTAATAATTTAGTTACATAAAGATCTGTAAAAAAAATTAGCTTCATAGAATTTGTCATAAAATTATAAATATATTCTAAAAATAAAGCCACCCTCCCCCAACCCCTTTATGCCTAACCCTAGAATTTTAAAAAAATTCAATTTTTTAATTTCATAATAAATTTCTAAATGATGGCAACTTTTTTTTTTAGCTTGGATAAATTATGAATTGTGGTCAATTTATGACACTATCTAAAGAGCTGTAAATTATTTAAAGTTTAAATAGGAAATAGCCACTTAGGCACCATGCCACTTAGCAAAGATTTTTTTTATGTATAGTTATACAAACTTTTTAAAACTGTTAAAACTTTTTAATTGAATTATATTATTTTTAAATTTTAGTCTTTTTCTCATCCCAATAATGACACATTTTGGAGAAACACTTTTTCTGAACAACTGTGGCCAGTATTGATGTTTATTGGAGGATTATGTTTCTGCATTATTATTTGGAACTCTGTTTCTTCTTGGAATTTATTTTTATGGCGCAGAAATATCATTTTAGTTGTCTTCTTCTGTTTTTTATTAAGCATTCCTTGGGAGTGGTATAGGTAATTAAGCATTTATTTTTATAACTAAAGTATTTTTAACTTTTACTTTTCTCTTTTTTACTTTTTATTAAGTTTTTCTTGCAAGTCTATTTCTATTAAAACAAAAACAAACAAAAAATAAAATAAAGACTGAAGTTGATGTCTTCAAAGTGTCATTCTTTTAAGATACTTTGTAAAAAAAAAAGTTGGCCATATTTATTCTAAAGATATCAAATTGTGTTCCTCTTTGTGAAAATATTTGTGCATAGAGTGCAATTATTACTTCGAGGGGCTATTTTAGAAGCACGAATATGACAGACATATTTTTCATTTATTTTTCTGCTATTTTGGGTAAATTTCAAAAATAAAATCAAAAAATAAATATGATTACACTTGATAGAAATCAAATATGTTTTAAGGTCATTACACACAATTTTCATAGGTATTTTTGAAAGCTGCTAAGTTATTTTATATACCTTATCAGCTTTCATATAATCAATAAATAATATATTGATTATATAGAGATAAATCATGGGCATGCAAGGTCCTACAATGTAGTAAGCTACCAAAAATCAATTTTTGTAGTAAATGCAAAATTTAATTTTTAATAACAAAATTTGACTTTATTTGCTCACTTGATAAAAAAACTACAGATGCTGAGTTAGTGTCAAACACATTCGATCAAATACAAATACATTTTAGATTCCTAAAATACAAATTCAAATACAAATATTTATAAGCAGCATTTTCCAAAAACAAATATAAATACAAATAATTGTATTTTAAGTTAAGAAAAAATACAGTTATTTTCAACTTTTTTTAAAACTAATGAACAACTTTGATTTTTTTTTTTACTTAAATCTTTAATTAATTAGTTTTATTTGTTTTAAATCTTTGTTTATACTATTAAAATAATAGATTTGTTCTTAATTTAAAAAAAAAAGTCATGTCACTCTTGTAAAAACTTTTGTCAGATAAAACCTTTTAATCATAAAAATATTTGTACTATAGGTTTAGAAAAGTAAGTTTTAAAAAAAGAAAAAAAAGAAAAGGTAAATTTGAGGTGGTGTTTATTTTATTTATAAAACTGGAAGTCATTTTTTTTTAAATATTTAATTTTTATTTGTAGTTAATCTGTTACACTAAGTTGTTTAGATTTCATAATGGGGAAGTTGAAAAAAAGAAAAATAAGTTTTTTTATTTATTTTTATACATAAATTTTATATAACAGCACAGTTACAAATATCTATAACAGTGCATCCATATTAATACATGTATATACTTATGTTTTGAATTTATATACATCTATTTACATAAATATACACTCATACAGATATAAATATAAACAAGTTCTTATAAATGTACAAAAATAAATACTTGTATGTTTATAATAGTAATATAATAATAGTAAACATATATATTTAAACATTTTTTATGTACAAAATATGTTAATGTATGCAAATAGATGTGCATTAGAGTTATGACTTTTTGATTTTGAAAAAAATTTAATCTTCTGTCTCATAAATTGATGAACTTTGATTAGAAAACATTGAAAACATGTTCAATTCTTCTCGGTTGTAAAAAAAGGTCATCCCGCAATTCAAATTACATTTCGTCATTTATTTAATCTTGTTACTGCTACTATTAATATGTGTGGTTTCCCTGCAAATCATTTAAAACTTGTATAGATTAGAAGTGTTTAGAATTTTAGAACATTTTTGGAAAATAACAGAATATTTTAGAAGACTTTAGAACATTCTAGAATAATTTAAAACATTCTGGAACAATTTAGAACATTCTAAAACAGTTAAAAATATTTTGGAACATTCTGGAATATTCTAGAACATTTTACACTATAATAGCTGCTCAACTAATTTTATAGTTATTACAGAAGCAACACATGGCCAAAACACTCGGACAAAAAATCAAAGGAAGAAAGGAGCGAATAGCGGAAATTTCCAAAGAAGTCACCAAATTGTGGATTTTCTTTATGTATCTGATCGAGCAAAGCTTGATAAAATACTAAAATGTTATGATGAATGTGTCAAGCGGGGAAGCTACGAACCCCTTGATGAAATTTTTGGTATTACTAAAGTGGATGGAACATGGTTATCTTCAGAGGACATTGACACAACTCTATGTCAATCAGCTATTTACAAGTCAATAATTAAAGAGGTAATCAAGCTGAAGGAAGAAATGATTGATAAATTGCATATGATGACAAGTTGGTCCTTACACTTTGATGACAAGGAAAACGACTTTAATAACTTGGCTGAAATACTAAATCCATACAAAAGGGTTTAAGCTCTTTGAAAAATCACTGGAAGTAAGAACCATCCATACTACAGATACACAGAAGGAATCAATGCGCAGAGCGCGAAATCAAAGTAATGGAGGAAATTTATTTGTCATGCAAAAATAAAGACAAAAGCACCTTCGATTCCTTCTGCACAACAAGCAATAGCAAGGTCAACGGTCTGAGTCATTGTTGGATTGAAAATTTCATTACATGTATATATATATATATATATATATATATATATATATATATATATATATATATATATATATATATATATATATATATATATATATATATATATATATATATATATATATATATATATATATATAAAATTACAATGTACACATAAAGTGTAAACAAAATTAAATTATTTTCAATTCACCACTGCTGATAGCAGCCATTCTCCGTGATCTAGATGCTCTTTTTTTTTCTTAAACCTAGTTCATGTTGGTTTAAACTTTTCATTCATGTAGTCATTTCATGAATGGTTTCACTGATTTATTTTCTGAATATTTATTGTACCAATAATCAATACTGTCTAGAGTTTGTTTTTTCAGTGAATCTAATGTAGATATTCCTTTACACCATAAACAAGATCTTTTCCCAGAATGTCCAGATAAGCTAAATAACCCATTTTCACATTTTAAGTCAAAAGCAACATAAAAACTGACAGATCGCAAATTCAACTTTTTTTATAATTTGCCTCAAATTACAATTAGATTCAGAAATATTATCAACAATAGCTAGAAATTGTAATCGTTGTACACTTCAAGAACTCATCTAAATCATTATTCTTAAGACAATCAAAGATATTGACAATCACTTTAAATAATGAACCACCACCATCTAATGAAATTCTTATAAAGGCTGAAATTGGGTCTAAACCACATAGTTTTAACAAGTCTAGCACAAGTTTTCTTAAAATTACATGATCTATAAAATAAGCTCTTCGATAAAATAAAATAATATGTACAGATTAAGTTAACAAAGAACTAAAGACTATTTATTTTTTACTTATTTAACCTTGACTATTTATACTTGACTGTTATCAATATAACGATAAAATAAACAATAAAATTGTAAATGAAAGCTTTACACTGCTAAAAATCACAAAAAACTTTTTAAACTAATTCACTTCCGACTAATATTAGGTTATGAGTTAATAGAAAACAATGGGGTTAAAGAGAAAGGAAATGGTTAACTGAAGACTTTAAAAGTTTGTATAATCAAGATCAAGAAAATAATCAAGAAAATATGAAGATGGGTGAGAGTTTTGAGGTTTTGTTGATGTGCAATGAAGTAAACTAAATGAATAAAAATATTTATAACATGTAATGATACATAAAGTAAAAGAATCCAACTTTGCTGAATGACAAGCCAAGCAAGAATGAGTTTTAGTTGATTGAGCTAGAGGTGATAGTTTGTGCGGAATAAAGCCCAAAACTTAAGAATGTGTAATTAAATATGTTTAAAGATATATACAAAGAATAAGAAGAATTAAGAACTGAAAGAATTTAACATTTATTTAAGAAAGCATTGTGTTTGTGGTCAAATAATGTTGGATTTAGATTCGTTTTTTTTGTTTTTTTGTTGTTGTTTTAAAATGCTAGAATATATTATTAAATAATATATTTATGAAGATTGAAATTATTTGAACATGATTTACATTTTATGAAAACATAGATTTTGATTATTATGGTTTTTCAAGATTTTGATAACAATAGTATAATGGTCATAACTTTTTTGGACGTCCTAGAATAATTTTTGAAATTTTTGAAAAACACCAAATATATAACTAAAATCTGGTACAAAATTTTTCTCTTGAACTTTTTTTTTATCCCTAAAGTCATTTTAAAGCCTATGGATGCTGCTATGGTACTTTGTTAGTTAAAAATTTAGTTAAATATTTTTAAATAAGGTTACTTTTAATTAAGGCTACTTTTAGGACATCTGTAGGCTTTTTATTACATGAACACATGAATTTGTAAAAAAGTATTGTATTTAATGCATTTTTCTATGAATAAAACAAGCTAAAAGTAACAAATACAAGGTTGTCAAGGTTTGTGTTTTGGAGTTATAGAGTTGAGAGAGAGAGAGTTATAACCACAATTAGGTAGCTTCCTTGTCTGTAGTGGCCTTTTCAGCCTTGTGGAGGTGAATTAACAAAAAAAATACAAGCTGAAAATAACAAATACAACAAGTTAAAAACCACAATTAAATAAAAAGCAAATAAAATATTAATCATAGCTTAGTTTAAAAAAAAAAAATTTGTTTCATAAAAACAGTGATGAAATGTGAAAAAAAAATGTTTTTATTTTAATAATTTTAGGAAAAAACATCTTCAAAAAAATCTGATATAAACTATATAATTTTTTCTTTAATTATTTAAGTTTAAAATTACAGAAAAATTAAAACAGAAAAAAATGTTTTTAATTAACAAGAATAAAAAACAAAAAAAATATTTTTAATAAACCTACCATGTTAAATTTTATGTTTTTAAAACTTAACTGATTGTGTTTACAAATGTTACACTGTGTTTATTTTAATCAAAATCTTATTATATTGTTTTCCAATTTATTTTATGCTACGTAATTTTATATTAAATCTTAAATTTTATTTGATTTGAGTTGCATTTGATTTAATTTGATTTACATTTATTTGTTTAAAGTATTAAAATTTAAAAGTAAAAAAAAGTTCTGTTTTTTCATTACATGTGCTTTTTAAAATTGTATTATTAAAATAAAAAAATTTGTTATTCATTCTGATTGTTCATTAGTTTAAATGATTTGCAAAATTTCTATTGTTTTGTTTTTTTACTTCGTCAAAGCAACTTCAACCAATGACCTAACCAACCATTGTTATTTCTTACACTCTTTTAATAAATTCATTTTTTTTTTTTTAATTTAGAATGTACAAGAGTGCACTTAGTAAAAAAACTGCAACTTCTTTGAAAGACATTCCTCATGAGTGTACTCCGAATAAGGTTACTGCTTGGAATAGCATTAGACTGTGGTTCAAAGATTTGATTAGCACAACACCTGATCAATGTGCTATGTATTATGAATCTATATTAGTTGATCCTATTTGGGAAGTATCACCACTTATGGTTAGTTTATTATTTATACTTCAGCGTCAACAAAAATGTTTTTGTTGTTTTTTGTTACTAATGAAAATAATTTTTAAAAAAATTTGTTATAAAAAATATAGTAATAAAATATTAGAGGTGCTTAAATATTTGATAATATAAATATTAAATTCAATTTAGAAATATTATATTTATAAAATTAACTGTAAATTAATGTTTAAAAAAACACAATTTGTTTGTAAAAAAAAGCAGCGTGTTTCTAACTGAAAAACTATATTTGCTTTGACATGTTTTAAAGAAAACTTTTAACAATGTTTTAAAGAAAACTTAGTCAATTTCAATGTTACAAAACTTAAGTTTGTTATAGATTTATGGTAGTAAAGGCTCTGAGGTGTGTTTTGAAACATTGTTTAAACTAATGTGGTGAATTAATAACTTAAGGGATTGTTAGAACAAATGAAACCAACACCATAGCAGAAATAGCACAGGGTTACAAAAAGTTTATCAAAAGATGAAAGGGTTATAAGACAATCTGTTGAATTCTGATACAGAGTTGTTTTTACTCTTGGTAATTGATTAATTATCAAAGTTTTCTTTGTTTGTTTAAAACAAAAGTTCATTCAGGTTTTAGAAGTAAATTCAAATTTCTTAAAAGTAAGTAGTGGTCCTTTGTTTTCTCAAACTCTTTCATATTTGAAGGAAGTGAATAAAAATTTTTATGAAAACAAAAAAACTTGCTTAACAAGTATTTTTTTTTTTTTACAGTCTTCATAAAATTTTTTTACAGTCTTTACAAAAACACCCTTGGAAGATCCAGAGTCAACATATTAAACATTAATTTCAAAAAAATTAGAAAATATCTTTTTTATCTGCAATGTGACTGAAATAAAAGTTCTTTTTGTTAATTTAGATGTACAAAAAAGATAAAAAGAAAAGTATTTTCTGATTATGCATAGTATAGTATTACTGGGTAGGAATAATAAAAAATATGTGTCTTTTTGAAAAAAAAACTACCTGAAATATTCAATTTTTCAGTTATTCAAATGATTTCAATTCAGTTCAATTATTCAGAAACGAATTCAATTTAATTATTCAGTTATTCAAATGATGTATGCTAAAAATGTCTTGTGCAGTTTTTCAAATGGTGTAATGGTAGAAATATCTCATCTAGTTTTGACTGGAGAAATCTGCAAATACAATTGCATTTTATAATGAAGTTTGCAGATGCGAGAATTACTTTCAATTATCAGATATCTGTTTGTGGCAAATACTTCATGCAATTAAAACATCTTAACAAAAGTTTTTTTGCAGGATTCTATAATGTTACTGTTTTAGATAGGGGTAACTTGTTTGTTCTTTTTGGGGTATTTTTGTTCCCTTTTTTTTTTTTTTTTTTTTTTTTTGCATTGGTATTATGGTGTAATAGAATATCTATACATTTAATGGGACATTTTAATTTTTTTTGACAGTTTGATGGCTTATTTTATTAAGTATTTTTGTAAACAATACCCCCTCAATTTTTTTAAACTATTAAAATTGCAATAGCCCTTTCCAAAAGCAATAAAATACCTTGCGGAAGACTTTTATGTTTTGATATAAATGTACCTAAAGAAGGCCCCAAATTCAAAAATGTGTGATTTTAGCTTATGATTTTTAGGCTAAGGAAAGGTTTTAACCAGTTTTTTTAAAGTTCTACGTATACTTCCCTAATATAAGAACAAACTTATGATGCAGTTATCTAATTGCCTTTAAATTTAGTTTAAAAATCCCCAATTCACCAATCATCCATTCAATTCATTCAATCCCTTTCCACGTGTTTAAAGGGCAATAGTTTAACCAACCATAACTCAAGAACTATAAATATTTAGACCAAAAAAAATTTACAGGTTTCTTTCTTACTCATTTAGCATTGTTTTATAAAAAAGTTTGCGTGATTGAAGGATATCAATTTTGAGCCAACAGCATTTTTGCCTAGTTTTCTCAGAAAATGGCTTGTTAAAAGGCGTTTAGGCACATGTGTGGTTTGAAAACTACAACTAATGCAAAACATTCATATGTTTAAACACCACAAAGGTGTTTAAACATAAATCATGAGTTTCACCCGAGAAAAAATACAAAAAAAAACTTTTACACCGGATATCGTAGCAGACAACTCAAATGAGAAATAACAACTGTTTCAGTTGCCCGCAGGCACTATGTCATAATTTTATACAAATGGGTGGCCAAAAATAGTTTTGAAGAAAGTAATAACTTTTATTTAACTTTTTTATTTTTATGTCATTTAAACTAATAATTTATCAACTTAAATAGTTCAAACACCTGGACAGCGCTGCGTTTTGACCCAATTTTAAGAGTTTTTTTAGTACAAATTTCTTTTTTTTTTTTTTTTTTTTTTTTTTGTTTTAGTTAAACTAAATGAAGGAAAAATTTTTAAGATTTGTTGGGCCCTAATAACTATTTTTTTAGGGGACAACTCTGAACAATTGGCCGCGCCACTGATTTTATTATTTATTATTAATTATATTGTTTTGTTGGAGCAGGTAACTTGTAAAGATAACCCATTGCTCTCACAGACCTAATTAGTAAACTGTGTGGTAGGCCATAAATACCTAAGAGGACACTTGTACTTCTACAAAAAGTTACCAACTTGTTTTAATTTTTTAAAAGAGAATATATAAAAAATTTTCTTTAAAGTAATAATTTTTCACAATTTATATTTTTAATAATGCTATATTTATTTCATATGTAAATGTTCTCATCTTTTCAATAATCTTCTTTAGTAGCTTCTAAATTGTTTATTATTTCATCTTCTAAATTAATCATTTCTGATGGTTCCAATAATTTTAAGTCTGAGGATTCTAGTTATATCAGTTTTGGTTCCTTATTGTCCACTTCTAGCAAGCCTTCCCAGGAAAGGCGTGCAGTTTTTCGTCTCGTACGACCACGAAAACGTTTTTCAAGTTAGAGAACGTGATCACGTTGTTTGAACAAGTTATATTATATGCGTTGCTGAAAAATTGTTTTATATTTAATAACTACATAAGAAATTAAGTAAACTTAAATAGAAAACAATAATAATAGTTTAAATAATTTGTGTGTTGTTTTTATTTTTGTTTTTTCTTAGTGGTTATTATTATCGGCAAAGCAAAAAAAAAATAGCATTTTTAGACGTTAAAAAGACATTAAATTTATTTTTTTCTATTTAAATCTCTTTATTTTGTTAGTTTTTTTTTGTGTGTTTTTGAAACTTTTTCAGCATTATTATAAAACTTGCAAATGGCCGTGTTCAAGTTTTCTAAATTAATATACTCGCGTGTGGTCATGCAAGACAAAAAACTGCATGCCTTTCCTGGGAAGGCTTGTCTAGAGTTAAAAAAACTCTTTATTTTTCTGAAAGTTTGAGGACAATTTTTTTCGTCTGTCTATTTTGCAAGGAGATAAAACTAATTAGAGAATCGGATGATTTCTTTGGATTTAATGTTTGCTGACAACTTATTGCAATTAAGATATTTTTGAACATTGTAATAATTGTCTTATCTTTTTTTTTTTTTTATTTATTTATTTGAGTTTTCATGCTATATTTTTCTATACAATGTTCTTATATCCGAAGATATTGTTGGCTTAGCATAGGAACAGCCACAAATAGTCATTAAGACTAATCCAAAGAAGCGTCCGTTATTGACCAACATTTTTGCGTACCGAAGTACTACTCAAGCGCTGAGTTGGCGGTAGCGGGATTTGAACTCGTATCGTTCAACAGTCTGGGTTTCAACTTTTCCTTTGACGCTCTAACCATCTGAGCTATCCCGCCACAATCAATCCTTAATATTTTGCTTAGTTCTTTGGGGTCAGAGAACGCTTTTCTGCAAACATTTCCGGTGGTAGATGTTCCTGCTCCACTAACTGTGGGAAAATTAACTCGGAGATGCTTCCTTTTGAACATTAATTGCCGGATAAATTTCTTTTTTTTATTGTATATTGGCTTGAATTCTTTGATTACTCTCCATTTTTTAAATTCGAGTTGGTATGAAATATGTAAAAGACACTCTAGAAATCTTATCCAAGCATGTAACGGAGATATCCTATAGATAAGTGTACCTTTTTTGCTGTAAATTCACTTAAAAAGTTTTTCAAACAAGTCATTGCAGTTAATGTAGCTCCGCAAATACAACAGCATTGCATTGGCGATGTGTTTGTTATAATTGCTTAAACCTTTCTGTCAATCATGCACAAAATAAAATTGAAATCAATAATAACAAACTTTCCATTAACCAATTCAATATTCACTGAATGCAGTTCCAAAATTTCATTTTCTATTTGAAGATTTTGTTCCTAAAACAACTACAGCAGTGTCTTTGATGAAATGAAGTTCAATTGACAAAATCTGACACTAAAAGGCATTAAGTTGGTCCACAAAAAATAATTTCAAAGGTTTTGTTACAATTGCAAACATGCTTGAATCTTGACTGTCAACAGAATCGGAAAACGCTTGGTTGTACAAAGCCTGCCCAGTAGATCCATCCATACCCAACTGTTTAAAAGCAGCATATTTTCACTTAGTTTGTTACTGATATCTAAATAATCCATTATTTCTTTTTGCCTCATTTTTACAATTTTTTTAGCGGTATGATATATAAGTGCTTGTAAATCTACTTTGACTTCCAAGTGAATATCCTAAGTGCCACACAACTTAAGTGCTTTTTCAACTATTGAATAAAATGGATATCTTATTTTAGATGTCTGTTGAATTCTTTTATAGCCAAATACGCTAAGATCTAGGTCAATTATTAATGCTGCGGCTTCTTCAGCTGTCATTTTATCATTGTCAATCAATTTGTCAACTGAACAAACATAATGTGAATCTTTATGATTTTTGATGACATGTGTCAACACATTGAATAAAGAAAAATCTTTTTGATTATATACTTTTCTACGGGCTGTAAGTAATATTTTTTCTACGGGCTGTAAGTAATGATTTTTCAATTGAATCAAAATTTGTATGCTCTCCTACAATGATCCGACGTTTATTTTTCTTACTCATATCATCAAAATCTTTTTTTGGTCGCCCTTATATATTTTGCGCAAATTCCAATGACGAAAAGTCTATTTCAAACTTTTGATTTAAACATTTTTCGTGTTTCAGTTAAAAAAAAAACTGTGTTTCTTGATGAATCTCTCAAAAATCTTTGGTAATTCGATTCAATTCCATTTAACTTTTGTACCAAGTTTTCTTTTTTACCATCACTTATAATAACTCTACAAGGTATGAAAAGTAAAGCATTGTTTATATTTTCTTCTTTTGTTGAATATTTGAAATAAATATCTGTAATTGTAAAATCCATTACTTTTATTTTTAGTAAAATATATAACTTCTTATTCTTTGAATTTTTTAATTTTTTTTTTTTAATTATCTTAATTTTAAGCATGGAATATTAATTTTATGCATAGGATAATAACACATATGCAAATAATTACCTAATTAAATGTCAATTATCATAAACTATCATTTTCAGTTGATTATTGAATACAATGTCTTATGTAGACTTTTGATCAATTATCACTTAGGAAAACAAAAAATTTCTTGCATAGTCACAAAAAATCGCAGCTAATTTTTTAATTTCTTAAAAATAGACTCAATTCAACGTTACTTAATATTAGTTTGATCGATACCTTTTGATACTATATTTTTTGCGAGTTCACGAAAATTGGAAGTTGTGATTTAAACTTTTTTTTCAGCTTAAAACATCATAAAAATTGAAAAAAGAAAAAAAATTCTTGAACATCTTAAGACGTATATAATTTGATTCTCTTTAATATATAAATAAATTAACAGAAAAAAAAATTATTCACGAAACACTGCAAGAAAAACAAAAAAATAATTTTTTTGAAAACTTTAATTTGGCAACCATTTTTGACTTTGATGGTCACTATCTCTGGATGGTCACTATCTCTGGATGGTCACTATCTCTGGATGGTCACTATCTCTGGATGGTCACTATCTCTGGATGGTCACTATCTCTGGATGGTCACTATCTCTGGATGGTCACTATCTCTGGATGGTCACTATCTCTGGATGGTCACTATCTCTGGATGGTCACTATCTCTGGATGGTCACTATCTCTGGATGGTCACTATCTCTGGATGGTCACTATCTCTGGATGGTCACTATCTCTGGATGGTCACTATCTCTGGATGGTCACTATCTCTGGATGGTCACTATCTCTGGATGGTCACTATCTCTGGATGGTCACTATCTCTGGATGGTCACTATCTCTGGATGGTCACTATCTCTGGATGGTCACTATCTCTGGATGGTCACTATCTCTGGATGGTCACTATCTCTGGATGGTCACTATCTCTGGATGGTTACTATCTCTGGATGGTCACTATCTCTGGAATTACTATCATCAGAGTAAAAATGTTTTGTATTTTATCTGAGTATTTTAAAGCAGTAGGAATTTAGTTTTGAAAAATCTGAGACCATTTTTTTTTTGTGTTTTGGCCAACCTAAAACACATAGTGGCAGGGCGACTGGGAAAAAACCGGAGGTTTTTTCCAAGTCGCCTGCTGGACCACTGGCACAGTGATCGTGTTTGTAATTATTTTTGGATGCATAGTGCTATTTGGTTTATATTAAATTTTTTTGTGTCGTTTTTTTAAGGCAACATCAACAAGCTTATCCCGTTTCTGCGGGGAACCGCTCAAACAGCTTGCTGCAACATCTGGAGAATGTTTCAAATTATTTTTTAATGAAATTCCAATGCAGTGGCAACCGATTGTCTTTGCTGCAGTTTTTATACTTTTGATTATTTTAATATTTTCACTGTCCGGGTTTGAGATATCAACGCCATTTTTGCGCATTGGATCTAAAAATACGGATGTTTCGAAAATAAAACAGATTTATGAAGAGAAAATACATTCTTTAAAAGAAAAAAACGAGAAGTTAATGTTAGAAAAAATAAGGTACAAAGGTAACGATTTCAAAATAACTGAAAGAAAGTATATCGATGATATTGGTTTTGATGATCAACCCATCCGACTTAAAAAAAGACCGGAAAAAATACAGTCTAGTATATCTTCCGGATTCGAAAAAAACAAAGTGAAATCTTCAAAAAATTATGTCTCAGAACCTTTGCTACAAAAGTTAACACCAACAAGAATCAAAATTGGCAATGAGGCTGGCGCTTTGAACAGCGATTCAAACGTTAGTTATTCTAGATCAAGGTTTAGTGATGCTCTTGAAGCATCACAAGCGTGCGAAACAGAGTGGTGTGATGATGTCAGACACCCGAGTGTGAATCAGTCACCATTGCATATCATTTCGTATTCAACTAATAATATTCAGGACTTGGGTAATTCTAGAATCGGCGAAAATGAAAACTATTTTTCAAATGTACATAGAGTACCGGAAATTGGGGGAAATGATCGCGATAATCATATGGAGAGCGGCTATATTATGGTTAATCAGTAACATCTAGTTCAAAATCTAATACCTGGTCTTTGAACGTTATGATAATACTCGGAACGTTATGATAATACTCGGAACGTTATGATAATACTCGGAAGCGTTAAATGGCAACCGTTAATTTTGTACTTTATGATTTTTTTATTTAGTTTATTTTTTTTATTATCAATTTATATTGTTATATAATAAGTTCAGTTCTATTATGTTACAGACGATGTTGTACTCTTTAGTACTCTATATTAGTAATGTGGATACTTTATAATAGTAATTTAAAGGTTTTCGATATAATATTTAGAGTTTAATAAATCTTATTACGTATGTACGTATTTAGAGTTTATTAAATCGTATTACGTAACTTGATAAATTTATAAGGTTCCTATTTGACGTAGAAGGTTTCGATTTGATGTGCAAAAATGACTTGTTTTAGATTTTTTGAGAAAATTTTATTTTAAATTTCTTTGAGCCGTCAGCTTTTAAAGCATGTCTGAATTGAGGAGGAGGACATTTTAATATTATTATTTGTTTGACCCGTCAGCTTGTAAAGCATAATATTGTCTTCACATTTAGCACTTTAGTATTTTCCACGAAACATATGTGATCTTGAAATTACATATGATTTTATTAATAGGATTAGAAAAATATTTCGTAAAAAAATTTCGTGGTTAAAAATAGTCCTGGTTATTTAGTTTTTTAGATGGACAAATTCTAAAAATATAGCATCCGAATAACTTAATATTAAACCGAATATTCAGTTTAATATTTTCAATAAAATTCCAAGACGCCCAAAAATTGTTTACTCTGTATTCTCAGCTAACACATTACGTTTAAATATGCAAATGTAGACTACAATATTTTGAGATTGATGTGATGATTGAATATGAAAACAAACTGAATATAATAATTATTGCACAGTTAAGTGCTCTGCTTTACACGAGTAAAAGGCTAATGTGTTGCAATCTGTGTCTCCGTCTACTACGCAAACGAGTCCTCGAGTTCGGAAATGCTTCTCATAGACATGGCAATACTCAACTCAAAAATAAATTATGCAGAAAACAATGCACTTTTTCTAGCCGAAAAAACTCAATGAATGAGAGATCACCGGATGATGCGTCCTCAGTCATGGGAGACAGAAAAGCATGCATAAAAGTATAAATCCTTATGTGAATTATATAGAATTCGTTGGCTGAAAAACATCCCGCCTAACCGGGGTACCCCGGTTAGGCGGGATGAATTTCAGCTGTGTTCATATGGAAAAAACATTTCGCTCTAGCGGGACGTTTTTAAGATCATGCGATATTTGTTTATATATAATCATTCGCGCAAATTATTAAATTAAAAATGGAAGTTAAAAAAAAAATAGCATTTCATATCAAATAAGGTAATAGAAATAGCATCAATCAAATTTTCTAGCATTTCAATATTCCATTTGAAAACTTGTTTTTAACTTTTTTGTTCGATATATTTGAAAGAAGAAGCACTTATACGTGGTTGAACGATTTAAACTTTAAAATTATTAAATGCTCATTGAATTTCTTAATAAAACTGTCCAGTCGAGCCGGGATGATTTTCAATTTGTGTTCATTTGAAGAATTTTCACCGCACCTGACCAAAATCCCGGTAGTCCATAGGCGAGATCCCGCTTAGACGGGGTGAAAGAATTTATATATGAACGCGATATTAAAATTATAAGAGTTTATTAAGATAGGCGGGATCCCGGTTATTTTCTGTCCCGTTTAAGCGGGATGATTTTATCCATACGAACAGCCCCTAAGTTACAAATACAAATATACAAGAGAAAAATTACAGCGAAGATATCGTAAAAATAAATAAATAAAGATAAATAAAGAACGCGGATACTCAAAGAAGACCATTAGGTCTTGTCATAGAGAACCGCTAAAGAAGAACTTGAAAAACTTAAAATTTTTGCATAGCATAAAAGTGGTTATACAAATAAATTAAATCGTTAAGGTTAAAAAATCCTTTTACAACTAGAAAATATAAATAAACAAAAGTATACAAGTATTTTGATTTAATAAATAAGAAGAAAGTGGACACTCGTAGAAGAAAGTGGACACTCGTAGAAGACCATCAAGCTTTCATCGAGAACCGCTCGTAAATTTAAAGATCTCATGAAAATCAAATGCATACATTCATGGTCAAGTGTATAAAGCACAAGAGAAATTTAAGAGCACTCATATACATATTCAGTTACATCACTGCAGTGATGTATTTATAATTTTGTATGCAGTGCTCTGCATAAAAAATAAAAAAAAGTATATTATTCAATGTTTAAAAATAAAAAAATATATCATTTATAGACAAAATGTTTTTCTTAAGCTTTTTTTTTGAATGAGAGGTAACTCCATTCCAAAGAATAATCAAAACGTTTTAAAACGATTTTATTCCAAAGAGAAGCTCCACGAAATGAAATGCTTGATTTTCAAAAATTAATTTGAAAATATAGTGGACGAATTAAATTATCATTTCTTAAGTTGCATTTATTTTTATCTTTTAAGATATATAAATTATGGAAAGAAACTGGGTTGGAGTATAACATTTGTAAATAAAACAAAGAATATTAAAAACATATGGCTGACATATATCAAGAATTTTTATTTCAAATAAGAGAGGCTTGGCATGAGTAATCTTTAAAATTAATAAGACGAGCAACATGCTTTGTTGACTATAAAGAGGCTATCCTAAGTTTGGATTTATTAGCACTACACCAAGAAATATTTGCACAGTTTAAATGACAATGGATAAAAGAGTAATATATTTGAGTTAAATTGCGTTTATTTAAAGCACTTCTGGCTTTATACAATATTCCTATACTTTAAGCAACTTTATTACACAAGAATTCTATGTGATATTTCCAATTAAGTTTTTCATTGATATAGATACCCAAAAAGTTTATATTAATTACTCTTTTTATTAGAATTTTATCAATAAAAAGTAATGGTAAATTGCAATGCAGAAGTTTTTTTTAGAAGCTAGATAAAAAAAAGGATCTAATTAGTTTTTTCAACTATAAGTGAAAGCTTATTTATTTAAAACCATTTAGAAATTTTCGTTAATTCGATAATCATATTTTGAAGTATTGTAATATTTGTTGTAATATTGTTATCAGATAAAAAGAGGTTAGTGTTTCTGCAAACGTGACATCAATCAAGTTTGAAGCTTTGTGTAAATTATTGATGTAAATAAGAACGAAAAGAGGCTCAAGTATAGAACTCTGGGTAAAGCCACAGGTTATATTTAATAGATTAAATGGGTCAATTAAATTACTATAAACAAAATGTTTACGGTTCCTTAAATAAATTTTAAGTAACAGTATTACATTTCCTTTATTTTTATAATACTCAAGTTTTTTTAGAAGAATTTTATGATCAATAGTATCAAAAGCTTTTGATAAATCTCTAAAAACTGACGTGAATTAAGAACTTTCATAAGATTCAAAAAAATTGCCAATAATTTGGATTATAGCATGTTCTGTTGAGTTAATATTTTTGAAACCGTATTGATTAATATATAGTAAATTATTTGAAAAAAGGTGATTAAAAATTGCGTTACATAAAATTCTATCTAAAAAGTAAAAAAAAAAAACAGACAAAACAGAAATCGGGCAATACTTAAAAACATTGGTTGCATTACCAGCTTTGATAATCGGAGTCACTTTAGCTATTTTTAGAAAATCAGGAAAAACGCCCTGCTTTATTGAACAATGTAAAACTTTAAAAAGTATATCTTTTAGGGATTCATAAGTCTCGATGACAATACTACCATTTATTTTATCATAGCCAGCTGATTAATTACACTTAAGCATCTTAAAAAATTGCTCAAAATCTTCCTAATATAATTTATAAGATGTTAAGAAGGAAGATCGAAAAACCATACTCATCTATTTTGTTAGTCGAAAGAGGAATTTTAATTGCAAGACTAGGGCCAACAGAAACAAAAAATATATTTAATTCACGACTTATTACAGTTGGATCCAAGGAAAATTCATCATTAATTTTTATAGCTTTTGGCAGTGGGCGCAGTGTTATTTTTTGTATGCCAGTAAGTTTTCTAAGAATTTCCCATGTGCTTTTACAATTATGTTTGTTCATATCAAGTAAATTTGAGTAGTACAATTTATTTAAATTTTTCCTTTGTCTTTCAAATTTTTTGGCATAATTTCCATAAAGAATCTTGCTTTCGTTTGTTTTGGTTTTTAAGTATTTGATATATAATTTGTGCTTAATTATAGAGGATCTTCTGAGATCTTTTGTGATCGATGGTGACATTAAATTCTTGGCTTTTTATTTCATGTACATTTTGGAAAGTTTATCTTATATATTTTATAAAAAGTTTTAAAGAAAGCGTCATAAATTTGATTAGCGTCTGTAGATACTTTAATTTGATTCCAATGAAGCAGACATAACTGCTCTTTAAAATATTTTAAATTTGCTGCGGTAAAAAAAGCGTTTTGAAAAACTTGTTTTCTGTTGTGATATTTTTTTCTGCGGCAATGTTAATCGAGATAAAAATTGGGAAGTGATCTGAGATGTCGCTTAAAATTATACCATTTTTTAAAGATTTATTAAATATATCGTTTGTTAAAATATTGTCAATTATAGTAGCTTACGTTGAAGTTATTCTTGTTGGCTTAATAATTAAAATTATTGTCCCATGTTCAAATACATCATTATAAAATTTATTAATTCAACAATTGGTGAGGTATTGAAAACTATCCAAATTAATGTCACCTATTAAATAGTATAATTTTTTTTCTTGACTGCTTTTTCTTAAAATATCATTAGTAAGTATATTAAAATTTTCGAATTTACCCGAAGATGGGCGAAGGCAACAACTTGAAATTAAATTTTTGTTTTTTAGGGTTATGATTTCAATTATTAAAACCGCTTTGTCCTTTAAAACCACTAAAACGAAATTTTATTAAAACTTGGTAAACAATTATTTCCGTTAGAAATTATGTCAACAGAGCTACACCAAGTTTCTGACATGCAAATCAAGCTAATAGAATCTTTCATGTTTATACAAAAAAAATTTTAAATTTTTTAATACGCTTCTTATATTAATATGCAAAATGTTTAAATTTTTGGGAAAATAAAGTAAAATATGCAAAATGTTTGAAATTCCATTAAAGTAAAAGAAAATCGTTAACTTTATTAATACTAATAGGAGCAGTTGCTTAGTAAAGCACCGGCTCTGAGAAAATAATTTAAATACGTATCCAATTCATGGCTTTGTAAAAATTCATCAGTT